CCCCTTCCCTCCCCTCCCTCCCCTCTCCTCCCTCCCCTCTTCTCCCCTCCCCTCCCTATTGTCTCTGAATCCAAATTTTTTTCCCATTTGCCAGAATATACTCATGAGGAGCTCAAAGCAGTGCTCTTATTAGGATTATTAACTTCCATTTCAGGAACTTAGCAACAACATTCCTTCTACCCCCTCACTATGCTCTCTATCCAATTAGTTCCATGTTATTATTTTTCCAAGTTTTATAAGGTTCAGTCTCTATTAGAAGCTTCATGGAAAGGAAAATCTCAAATGCATGAACTGTGCCACATGTTAGAAGCCAGAAATATTGTTTTAATAGTCTCTTTTTTTTAAAGTTGAAGTATGATAAAATTTGGATTAGTGCTTGTATCCAAGAGAAATTACAGTAGTGCTTGTACCCAAGAAGCAGACTTTTCTGTGAGTTAATCTGCTTTCACCTTTTCTTCGCTACACTCGCCTGATCAAATTTGCCAACAGCATTTTCCCCTGAATAAGGATGTGATATGCTGTGCTCTGTCATAATCCTTTTCTCCTTCCCACAATTTATTCATGTATTGCTTTCCTACATTACAGTCTTCTTGTACAATCTCCCTGAAAAAAGACTGTACATTTTTTACATTGCGAAGCATTTTTCATGTTAAAGGTGACTTAGAAATAATAATAATACTTAGGACTGCATGCAAACTGATATAAATGAGGAAAAATAGTCATAAATATTCCCAATAAATAAATATACTTAGATTTACCACATACTCAGGAAATGAGAGGAAAAAAAAAATGTTATATGGCACAAAAACATTTCAGGCATTTCTGTATATATTGTTTGTTACCGTCACATGCACTTACCTAATCAAAGTCTATTGAAAAATTCATGTAGGCTTTGCAGGGCTTTGAACAAGTCTCTCTGTTTTATTAATGTTAATTTTTGGGGGGAGTTTATAAAGCAATTTTTAAGTTTGCATACAGATAAAAGAATTCAAGAAGGTCAATTCTCTCTCAGGTCCACAGCATGCAGGTGGCAGATGGGCCAGTTCTTCCTGTGTTTGAGCTTAAAATTTTTGTACATTTTCTCTATATCTTATTTTTTTTTTACCTTCCTCTGTTTTAATTACTTTTATTGCTGACTGGTGTCTGTTCTGTCTATTTTCTATGATCCCCAGAGAAATCCCACTTGAGTTCCTTGCAGGCTTGACCTACTCTTTACTATAAACCATACTCCTCAGTTCTTGCACATTTGGCAAAACCACACATCTGCCCTCTTATTTCCTTCTGAATTTTGTATACTTCAGTCAACACAACTCATAGTTACCTTTTCACAAAGAAAAGAGACTTTATTTCTGCAGTTTCTCCTATAAACAAGATCACAGAGCTGAGGAACAACATTTGAGGGGGAGGGGAAAAAAAAACAAAAAAACTCCAAACAAACAAAAACTACTTCATGGGAATATTTAATATTGTTATGAATGACCAGGGCAGTAAGTGGAAAAAGTAGCTGACCATGTTTATTTTCCACAGTAGTAAAGTTCATCTCTGAAAAATAATATAATGGGTAGGTGTCCATTACATTAAAAAAACAAAACCAAAACCAAACAAAGCAACAAAATAAACCAACCAACCAAAAAAAAAAAAAAAAAGGCAGCCTATTAGTAAATAATTAAAAATAGGTGCAGACATTTCCATAGGAGAAGTTATAGCCATGATTAACCATTAGTGCATATTCAGCTCCCCAACTCCTAAGCAGGCAGAGAGCACTTATCTACAATGATACTAAAAAGTATCATATATCTTCTATACATATGATATGTAATCATACTATTACATATCATACTAGTACAAAGCTTTTGGAACTGTCTGAGTCTGAGCTTTTAAAGCAACCTATTGGTATAATTCCATGAATTTTCAGTAAGCAATTTGAAGCAATATAAAGAAGAAAAATTAATATAGTGGAATATTTTAAGGTTCTGACATTAAGTTTCATTTCACAGTGGGATAAGAAAAAGCAAGATGTTTTAAATAAGTATTATTTTGAAATGAATGCACAATAGAAATGTTTCACCAATAATAATTGTGTAGGCGTATTACAGTAACTGCTTATAAATCTTAAATACTAAATAGAGCAAACACTGACTATCCAAAAGACAAACCACAGCTAAAATATTATATCATAAAAAAATAAGTTTGTTTCTCATTGTGGAACATATTTTGGTGTTCCCACTACTAAAAATTGGATAAAATATTATAATCATTTACCTTGAGTTGGCAGTACATTGTTCTGGAAAGTTTGTAAAGACATCTGCCAGACATTTCTCAATTATCGAGACTCTCACAATAATATTTTGTATGTTCTTCAAAAAGTTTTGAATATTCTTAATGTTTCTGGAATCTAAAATCCTGCCTTTTGGGAGCTAACTTTGTAAATCAGTCTTGATAAAACATAAATCTGCTCACATCTGAAATAGTTCACTGGCCTTTGTTTTCGAACATGTGATATGTGCCTTATAAGCAAATTGAAGATTCAGTGAATATATCAGATAAACAGACAGATAAACAAGGACCACTACAATTTCTGTGGATTTAGTTGCTCTGTTTATTGGGTCACGGGACAAATTTCTGATTCCTTCTTCTATACCGATTTATTTCTCCTAATTTGTGTATTTTATGCTCTTCCCATTCAGGGAGACACTCTTCCCACATAATTTTGGTTCTCCAAAAACTGTATGAAGTTTAAGCCTTCTAGTCTATGGACTATGAGAGAAATATCCAGAGGGCAGTTCACTGGTGCAATATGTGAAATGAAATGAAGAACCGGTCAGATACACATGTAAGTGTCACTCAACTACTTTGCTGGAAATCAGTTGTGTCCTTATACTCTCTTTTGAGTGTACTAACTTTGTCTGAACTTCCAAGATAAATCCCACTGAGTCAGCAGGATCATTCCATCAGATTGAATCATGTTATATTTTGAGTGACTTTGCTGGTTAGAGCTACCTCAATCTCTAGAAAAACATTGGAAAATACTGTTAAAGATTTTTAAAGAAAAGCAAGATTAAGTAATGTAATGAAAATCTGTTTGGTCTTGGTTAAAATGGTACAAATGGTGTAGAACATGATGAAATTTCTGGTTTAAAATTTTACTGCCTTCCAACATTTTTCAGTCTTTATTAATCTGATCAAACTGGGTAAAAAAAAAAACGGCTGACTTTCAGAAAGTTATAAAAAGTATGCAGACGTTTTGATTAGTTAGTTTTGTAGTAATTTGGATTATCATAAGCAAGTTCATAGTCAGTATTCCTTGGCATAAATGGCTTTTTCTCAGCCAGTGCACTTGAATCTGCTGCAGTCCACTTTGGAGCATCAGCTAACTGGGTTTGTTAATAATTAGTTTTGTAGTTCATTATTATTCATCATAGTGTAAGGTACTTTGGCAAAAAAAAAAAAAGAAGAGGAAAAGTGGAAAAAAGATATGACAGAACTTGTCTCTAGTTGATTGTCTCTCTAGTAGTGTACCTATAAACTGATCCAGAGCATTATGCTCATCTCCCTTAAGAAATAATTGTCAATTTGAGGTGCTTATGGTCTCAGCAGAAGAAGTTTTTAATGGGGGAAGGCATACAAAGGCCTGCAAGTTTATCAGTGCGGATGCAAAAGTTGGTAATCTTTATCCACTGCCCTCCTCTCTGTCTTGGCTAGTAAAAGAAATGGATTTCAGTTTTCAAATCCTTTGAGAACAGTGTTGCGGGTTTTGTGGGGGGTTTTTTTTGTTTTGTTTTTGTTTTAATTAAGCACAAGGAATTTATCTTATTTACATACAATAAGCCAACAATGAGCCAACACCTAGCACTGTCCTTCTTAAATATAATACTTTGATACTGGTTTTTCAATGTTGAAGCACAGGTGGTGGACTGACATACTTAATGTATTCTCTTATGAGTAATACTGTTGACACTTGAAGGTGTTACTTTGCGTTGATAGTACTTGTTCCAAGCAGATGATCTGTTATGTTACAGGCACCATTGAATGCTAAGGTGCTGTACTTCTCTCAGCTCTGCTGATGAGGAGAAATCAGTGAACACCAAGGAATTCAAATATCTCTTGCCTCAGCCCATATGAACACATAACCCAGTAAAGCGACGTGCTGTAACCTTGAGACTTATACTATCTGCTTCTAGGAAAAGCTCTGTGGAGAAAAGAAAAATAGACAAAGAGAGGGTTGATGTTACAAACATACCAGAGGACCTCTTCACCTTTATGTACAAGCCAGTGACAGTAAAGCAGCTCTTTTACCTAGATTATGCCAAGAAACAATTTCTCCTCTAAAATATCTTTCTTGTTCCTTTCAGTTCATTTACTGCAGAGTTTTCACTATATAAAATGGTGAACATAGTTACTTGCGTGTTTGCTTTTGAATCAGATGGCTCAGCTACCTACATCTTCCACCCTGAGAAACAGAGAAGAAATTACTCGTATTCCTGTGCCCATTGAATAGTTCAAGCAATTAAATGACTGCAAAGGAAATAGTGACAAAACCTTTTTTTTTGGCACAGATGCATCATGCAGCCACAGCCTCAAAAATGTCAGAAGTTCAGAACAAGCAGAAAAGATCACATCCAGCTCCACTCCAAGAGCAACAAGTATGCCCTGTTTGACCAGACAATTATAGGACCCCAGCTGGAGGCTTCAGTCAGCAGAGGTTGGACACATGTACATCTTTCCCTGCAGGTGCCTAAACTGCCAGAAGAAGGAGAAGGGTACGCTGAGGGAGGAGACATCAAGAACAAATTAAAATGAACTCTAGCATGGGCTATGTGATAGATGTAATACATGCTGATCTTTAACCATCACTCTAGGTAAACTGTAAATTGTTTGGAATATGATGATACTTGTATCCTGCAAATTTGCAAACTAAAAGATTCATGTCATTCAATCAGGGGAAATCTGGAAGAAAAGTAGAAGCTGGTAATAAATGAATTATCCAAAAACTGGGTAATATAGGAAAATTAGATATCTTCAGACTTATAGATGCAGTATATTCAGTTACAGTGTGGGTGCTTTTAACACCAAGTCTGAAAAATCAAATAGGAAGCTTAAAAGATTTTTCAATTTATCACTGCATTAGAAAAAAAAACAAAATCCAACAAATAACCCAAACACTCCACAACCTTTAAAATATTACAAACTGCATTGAAATATTTAGAAATATATATATACATAAAATATATTTATGTGATTAGATAATCTCCTCAAGGTGAACAAGAATGCCCATTAGAAGCTCTATATCAGAAAAAATAATTACTTTAAAATTATTCTACACAGTAAACACATTTTATCACATTCACTGAAGTAAAGACATATTTTAAAACTAGGTGTTTTGCTATAAATGGCTTGTATGAACAAATTTTCACCTAGGGTTTAACTAAGAATTTTGAATTGTGAGTTTGATAAGGCAACATTTATCCTATGCATCTTAGTCAGGCTAGATTCTATGCTGAATTACAACCTGAGAAGTCCCCATGGAAGGTGACTTCATTATGCAGGCTATAAACCAACACAGAACTTACTGTATTTAATTCAAGACAATAATGTAGCCTAAAGAGATGTTTTCATTTGCACAGATTTAATTTTGTTAGGGCAGGGCACCCAAAGATGAGATCAGCATTGAACTCTTTAATTTGAAAATATTGAAAGGAAAAACAACATTTACATCACAATTAGAGATTGTATTCCTTCATGTATTAGAAGAAGAAAACCAAGGTTAATGAATATACCAAGCTGATATTAAAAATCTTTTCATTCCTTAAAAAGCACCCAGAAGAGCAACATTTTGCTGTAAAACTAAATTAAATACCTTTAAATTAATATACTGATTATTTAATATAATTAAAAAGAAATCAGACAAGATATGAAAACAGAATTATTGGTTTCAGTTCTTTTCTGGTTGCATTGTTCTAGTACCTATCATTACTTTACATTGAAATTTCTTTAAGTAGTTCTACTATCATCTGTGTATATATATATTGCAATGGAAAAAAAAATTATTTAGGATTACTAAATGGGTAAATTTTGTAACACCAGACAGTTCAAACCAAATGTGACTTTTTACAAAAGTAACCTTTGTAATTATAGTCTCGGATGTTTTTTTTATCTTAGGATATAGAAAACTTGATTTTAAGATTTTATTCTATTGATAATTTCAAAATTACATTAAACCAAGATTTTCAATATGCCACACTTTGTTTATATGGTGTTTCAACATAGAGAGGTAATAAAAAAAATTACATTATTGCTCTCTGTGAATAGAGAAGGACTCGTGGGGGCTGTGATGGTATGTCTTGGCCACAGTGATCACAAAGTGGTTGTGTTTAACTTTTCAGTGTAATGAGAAAAAGAGGTCAACAGAGTTGTTACCCTGGATTTCAAGAGGACAAGGTTCAAGCTACTCAGGGAGCTACTTAGCAGTGCCCCAATGAAATCTGCCTCTGAGGGCTTCTGTGTCCATGACTGCTGATCAGTTCTTAAGAAGCACCTTTTAAAAGCATAGGACCAGGCAATTCCACCGTGTTCAGCATCAGGCTGAACAGGGAACTTGGAACTCAAGTAGAAAAGGAAATTATATGTGTGGAAGTAAGGTCAGGCTTTGCAGGAAAGTTACAGAGCTATGGTTCATATATGCAGGGAGAAGACATGAAAGACCAAAGCTCAATTAAGACTTGAGACTGGCCAGTGTTGTGTCACACAACAAGAAGGCCTTTTTAAAGTACATTAATAGTAAAGGAAGTCTAAAGAAAAGATTGAGAGATTACTTGCTGAAGATGATCACCTGGGAAATCAGGATGAAGAAAAAGTGGAGCCATTCAATGATTTTTTTCCCCCTCAGATTTTAATAACACTGACAGACCTTGGATTGCTTGGTCCTCTGAGCTGGAGGGACAGCCTGCCTCAGCATCATCATCACTATGGGATCAGAAGAATCTCTACTCTGGCTTGTGGAGCACTTCCTCAATTTTTCCTTCACTGACCATGGTGTATGCAGGGCTCTTTCTTTCACATACCCTCGCTCCTCTCTCCTAGCTGCTCTTGTGCAGCAGATTTCAACCTTTCTTAAATATGTTATCTCAGAGGCATGCCAGCATCATCAATTGGCTCAGTTTGGTCAGCAGCGTGTCTGTCTTGGAGTTGGCTGGTGCTGAGTCTGTCAGACATAGAGGCAGTTTCTGGCACCTTCTCACAGAAGCCACCCCTGCAGCACCTTTGCTACCACAACCTTGCCTCTCAAACACAATACATTAATGTAAGTGCTGCCAGAGAGCCGGTATCACTCCTACTCTCCCACCCCCCACTTCCAAGCACCAAGGCCAGGGTGCCCAAGCTCTTTGAGCAGCGGTCCTGGCGACCATTAGAAAAAAAATATTTAGGTACCATAAAAGCATCAGTATTTATTAGCTTAAGTGCTAATGATAGATATAACTCTGTTTATTACAGACAGTAGACATTACAGACAGTTGCACTAGGTCTCTTTCCAGTAATACTCATATGAGTTGGTAGTTTAAAACAATTTGGAGCCACAGCTCAGCTGATTACATATGGCTTTCTCGGTGAAGAGATGCAATTACAACGCCTAGTTGACCTTCTCTGTTTAGGAATCCTTCTGACAGGTTTTTAAATACAGAGTTTTCAGAGGGGTGAAAGAATTAAAGAACTCAGACAAAGCAACTGTGTGATCATGATGAATGCCCTGGTGGAATGACTTCGAAAGTGTAAACTCTTGAACTGAGCATAGAAATTCTTTTAACTGTGGTTTGTATAAACATTTCACATCTTGCACCATAGCAAACCTGTGCCCCTACTATGCTAAGATTAACTTACAGTGCTTGGAAGTATGCAGAAATTGTTTAACATATAACCTAATAGCATGGGGTTTACTCCTTTCTTAGCAGAACATTTATATTTTATCTGAAGAAAAAGTAATATCCTATTGTAACAGCTTTAAAGGCTTGTTAGAAACTTTCATATAATAAAGCAAATATAATACTGGTCGTGCCGTGCTGCACTGCCTGGCAGTGCCCGGGGTTGCACCCTCGAGGGAGAGGAGAGCAGGAACTTTGGAGCTCACAGAGGTTTGCCGGTCCAATTTGGGGGAAGGGGAGAGGGATGGGTGGGCTGTGGGGTCCCCGGACTGGCAGGAAGGCAGGCAGGGCAGTCCTGTGTGGGGTGTCACGGGTAAGCAGTGCGATGGAAGATCTGTGGTAACACAGTGGGAGGAGGGTAAGGTCAGAGTGGATAGGGGCTTCTTCTAGGGGGTTGAGCGGTTTAGGCTGGGCTGGGGCCATTTGAGGTACCTGAACCCCAGGTGGGTGAGGGGACCAGAACGGTTCGCTTTTGGCTCACCTGTGGCTGCTGTCCAGCAACAGTTTGCTTTGGAACTATAGCATCCTGAAAGGGTGCTCAGGGCAAGGGAATGTCCCTGGAAACATCTCTGAGTCTGAGTATACGTGGCTGGGAGAAAAGTAGAGAGTGAAAGACTTGTCCTAACCATTTTAATGGGGAAGTAGCTTGTGTGCCCCTATGAGGTTGTGAGCTATGCTGGCAATGGTACATGCCTTCGGCAGGATTTCCCAAGCCAGACAGGTCAAAACTGAAGGGTCAGATAAAATGTGTCCGTGGGCATGATGGGCTCACTAGCCTTCCAGCAGTCATCCTAGGAGAAGGACAACTCTAATTCCAAACCTGGGCAGATGGAGCTCACTTAGCCCTGTAAGGTTAAGAGAAGTCCAAGCTCACTAGGCCGTGGCAGATGAACCTTAGGATTAAAGGGTGGGTCCAGTTCTGCACATACTGCGTCTCACCTAAAAAAATCCATTGCACAGGCTTGAAGGCTTTACCCACATTTGCAAAGCCCTGTAGTGACAGGCGAGGGTCGAAACGGCAGGTCATAAGATGCACTGGAAGCCGCAGACCCAACCCTGCATACAGGCAGTTCAGGACATTGGTCACCTGAGACTGACCCCGGAGATGACAGTCTCATTCGGCAGCATCCTGAATGACCAAGCAGCCTTTTTCAAGGACAGCACTGCTTGCTCCACACGGAGAGGGGCCTAGAAAAGGTGGCCTAACCAAAGCTCATCTCTACCCTTCACCCAGTTGGTTAACTGCAGCCAACAGGCATCTTCTGATGCAGTCAAACAAAGATTAAGAGACAGAGGCATACACCTGCCTTCAAAGGTGTACCCAAATTGACTCTTGCATGCTGGAACATCAGAATCATGCTTGATACTGCAGATAGTGGACATCCTGAGCGTCGTTCTGCCCTAATTTTCCACGAACTGTCATGTCTGGACATCAACATTGCTGCTCTCAGTGAAGTTTGTCTCCATGAGGAAGGCAGCCTTAGAGAACATGGTGCTGGTTACACACTCTTTTGGTCAGGTAAACCCAGAACCAAAAGGCATCTTTCAGGAGTTGGTTTCATGATTAAAAACTCTATTGTCCCTGAACTTGAAAATCTGCCAACAGGTCATTCTGATCGCGTTATCTCCTTACACCTTCCACTACACAACAAGTACCATGTTGTCCTCTTTAGTATATATACCCCAACTCTCCAAGCTGACGCTGACAAAAAAGATAAGTTTTACACTGACCTGCACCGCCTTACCCAAAAGATTCCCACAGATGATAAGATCATTATCCTTGGTGATTTCAACGCCAGAGTAGGAAAGAACTTTGAAGCCTGGAAAGGAGTATTAGGCAAGCATGGTGTTGGAAACTGCAATGATAATGGTTGACTTCTGCTAGAATTCTGTGCGGAGCAACAGCTCACCATCACTAATGCTATCTTTCAGCAGAAGAATAGTCTGAAGACAACCTGGATCCAAGCATTGGCACCTCATTGATTATGTCGTGGTGTGACAGAGAGATGTTCGCGATGTCCATCATACCCGCATGATGCCTAGTGCAGAATGTCAAACAGACCATCGACTTGTGTGCTGTACACTTAACTTCAACCCTAAATTCAAACCTAGGGGCGGTATCCCAAGGAGGAGACTCCAAGTTAACAGTCTTCAAACAGCTAGTGAGAGACAGATTCCAGGCAAATCTTCAAACTGGGCTCGAAGATCATTCCATAGATCGCTCTCCTGAAACACTTTGGCAACATATTAAAAATAGCATCTTGCAGTCCTCTGAAGAATCCTTAGGATTCTCCTTCAAGAAGAACAAGGACTGGTTTGATGAAAACAATCAAGAGATCCAGGAATTGTTGAGGAAGAAGAGAACTGCTCACCAAGCACACCTTGCACAGCCATCTTGTCATGTAAGGAAAGTATCCTTTCATCTTGCATGCAGCAAGCTCCAAGAGAAACTTTGTGACATCCAGAACAAGTGGTGGATCAATCTAGCTGAAAAAACACAATTATGTGCAGATACAAGTGATCACAGAGGATTCTGTGAGGCCTTGAAAACACCCTATGGGCCTACATAGCAGGTCCAAAGCCCTCTACTCAGCGCAGATAGTCAAATGCTTCTCACAGATAAAACCTCCATTCTGAATCATTGGTCTGAACACTTTTAGACTCTTTTCAGCACTAGCCATGTAGTCCAAGACTCAGCCATTCAGTACATTACACAACAACCAGTGAAGAATGAATTGGATATTGCCCCTACTATGGGAGAAACTCTTAAGGCCATACAGCACGTGAAAACTGGCAAGGCAGCTGGGGTTGATGGAATTCCATCTGGAAGTCTGGAAACATGGGGGCCAAGCACTCCATGCTAAATTTCATGAGTTTGTGGTGCGCTGTTGGGAACTAGGCGAACTACCATCAGACCTTCGTGATGCAGTCATCATCACTTTGTATAAGAAGAAAGGAGATAAATCAGACTGTTCAAATGACCAAGGTATTACTCTGCTCTCCATTGCTGCCAAAATCCTGGCAAGAATACTCCTGAACAGACTAATACCCGCTATAGCAGAAGGAATTCTACCTGAAAGCCAATGCAGCTTCAGAGCCAACAGGAGTACCACAGACATGGTATTTGTTCTCAGACAACTGCAAGAGAAGTGTAGGGAACACAACAAAGGTCTCTTTGTTGATCTTACCAAGGCTTTGGATACTGTGAGCAGAAACGGTCTATGGCAGATTTTGGAATGTTTAGGATGTCCCCCCAAGTTCCTTAAAATGATCATCTCACTTCAGAAGGATCAACACAGCCAAGTCAGATATGGCAATGCACTTTCTGAGCCCTTTCTAATAACCAGTGGTGTGAAACAAGGCTGCATTCTTGCACCAACCCTATTCACAATCTTTTTCAGCATGATGCCCCAAAGGGCCACGGCAGACCTCAATGAAGAAGATGGTATCTACATTCGATATCGTACTGATGGAAGCCTATTCAACCTAAGGTGACTGAAGGCCCACACTAAGACCTTGAAGCGTCTTATCCGGGAGCTGCTTTATGCTGACGCCGCCACCCTCGTTGCCCACACAGAAGCAGCTCTGCAGCGTTTAACATCCTGCTTTGCTGGGGCTGCTGAGCTCTTTGGGCTGGAAGTCAGTTTAAAGAAGACAGAAGTTCTCCATCAACCTGCACCTCAGGAAGTCTTCCTTCATCCCCATATCACCATTGGCCAATCAGTGCTCAAATCAGTCCAGCAGTTTAACTACCTAGGTAGCATCATCTCTTCGTATGGTGGATCGACGGAGAGATAGACAACAGGTTAGCAAAAGCATATAGTGCTTTTGGAAAACTCCATAAAAGAGTTTGGCAAAATGAACATCTGAAGAAAAGTACAAAGATCAGTGTTTACAAAGCCATTGTGCTGTCTACTCTTTTATATGGATCCGAATTGCCACCACCTGCGACTCCTAGAACGCTTCCATCAACTCTGCCTTCATACAATCCTAAACATCCACTGGTCAGATTATG